CATCTTCCATAAATCTCCATTTTTGGGTCTTTCCTTACTGTCTTCTCTATAGGCATGCACTTCAACTACCCAATTGATTTCTGCCCTTTAAAACTGCACAGAAGTATGATCTCCTCCAGGAAGTATTATTTCCTGGTTGAATTAGATGCTTCTCCTCTCCATCCACAGCCACTCACTCAACTAGGCAATAATGACTATGGAGATCTAGCTTGTGCCAGTCTCTGTTCCAGGTGCTGGAGATGCAGCAGGGAACAGAACAAAGCCTCTGCTTTCCTGAAGCTTAGATTCTTGAAGCAGGAGAAAGACAATAAAGAAATAAAGAATTGTGTCAAGGGATATGAAATGCTCTACAGAAAAGTAAAGCAGAGTAGAGTATTATAGAATATTTGGGAGGGAATATTACTCAGGGAAGTCAGTGAAGGCTTTTCTGATAAGGGAGAGAGACTTGATCCAAGTAAGGACAGGAACATGTAGACATCTAAGGAACAAGTACTGCTATCAGAACAGTGAGTGCAAAGGCCTGAGACAGAAGCATGCTTAGTAGGTAGGTGCAAGGTAGCAAGGGAGTCAATGGGACCACAGAATCATGAGGGAGAGCAAAACAGGAAATGAGGTCAGAGGCAGTCAGAGGCCAGATCACACTGGGCCTTGTAGGATATGGTAAGGATTTTTTTTTGGTGGTGCTAGGGATTGAACCCAGGGCTTTGTGCATGCAAGGCAAGCACTCTACCAACTAAGCTATGTCCCCTGCCCTATGGTAAGGGATTTTACACCAAGAGAAATGGAAGTCACTGGGAGGTTTTAAGCAAAGAAGAGATCATTTGTCTTACATTTTAAGAGACTCGTTTTGGCTACTCTGTGGATAACACAGGAAGGGGGAACCATGAAGAGCACAGACATCTGGACATCCACAAATATTTATTGGCCTCTACTATGGCCACGCACTGTTCCAGGCACTGAAGATACCCAGTGAGACGGGATCTCTGATCAGTCAGGGAGGATTTACAATCTAGTGGGGAGACAGAACTGGCGTAATAACAGAACACACGAATATGTCTAGAAGAGTAGACAGGGTACTGTGGTGAGGGCAAGAAAGGAATTAGGTGGGGAGCAGCACTCTAGGAAGGGAATGCTCAGTTGCTTTAAGAAATACCATGTGGAGGGGCTGGGGATATGGCTCAAGTGGTAGCACACTCACCTGGCATGCATGAGGCACTGGGTTCAATCCTCAGCACCACATAAAAATAAAATAAAAATATTGTGTCCACCTAAAGCTAAAAAATAAATATTAAAAAAAAAAAAGAAATACAATGTGGAAGAACTACAACAGTCTGGTGAAAATGGAAGGAGGTGAGAAAGGAGAGGAAGGCGGGGCCAGATCACAGGTGGCCTTGTACACAAGCATGAAGGTGCTGTACTTTATCCAGAAGGTAGCAGGGATCCACTGATGGGTTTTAACACCACGGATGTCCATGGAATATCTAGGAGATACTGCTGAAAACGGCACAGGTGTGGGCTGCAAATACAAACTGGAATATCATTGGCATCTAAATGAAGCTTAAAAATATGAGAGCTGATGGAATCAACTAGAGACTATATACTATATACCATCAAGAGACTATATACTATATACCATCAAGCAGACCAAGATCTGTCATTCATTGTCTGTGACCCCGAGTAAGTTACTGCCCTTTTCAGAGCCTCACCTTTCTCATCTTTAATTGGGTATTTTCTTTTTGTAAAATGCTACCACAGTCCCGGGCACACAGTAAGTGCTCAGTTATTATTCTAGCTCCATCAGTAACTAGCAGTGGCAACTGGACAGCATATTGTGCTCTGAACCTCAAGGTCTCACTGTGGCCACTGCTAGGTATCCAGCATGCCCCACGGAATGGGCACCCGGTAAACGTTGCTCAGTAGTGAACAAATCTAAAAGACTGGAACAATACCCACCAAACACAATGGAATTAACAGGGTTTTCAAAGATTATATATATAAAGATGCATGTCAATAAATCCTCTAAGGAAAAGCGCCAGGCATTTGGGTAGACATTAGCCCTTCCTTCTGTCCTCGCTTTCCAACCCATCCCTTTTTTCTTTAATTTTAAATCTCCCCCTTGTAATTGGCTCCTTCCTTTCAGACTACAGACATGCACCTGTCTCCCCTAGTCTGAAAAGCTTTCCTTGGGTCTTATCCCTTCTCTCAAATTCTCATCCTGCCATTCTTTAATTTTACCAACTGTACTCCTTCGCAACCCAGAACACTTTTCAGTGAGGAAACCACACCTTTTGTTTTAGAACACAAGTCTCAGTTTAATAGTACTTTTAAAAAGGCAAATATCATTTACATCATTCTTTGAGCAGGCCTGTACATAGGTATTTCACTTTTTAAAAAATATGCATTTTTTTTCTTACCACAGTAATTCATTGCAGAAGAAATTTCATTATGTATGTTCTACAGAGCCCTAAACCAGAGCCAGCGTATTCAAATAAACCCCGAGGTGTGGGGAGGCTTCAGGCCAGTTGCTCATTAGAGGCCTCAGCATGGGGGCTCCGGAGACCCACACAGAAGGTCTTCCAGGGAGAGCTGAACCGTTCAGATAAGTGAGCTCTGGAAAGCAGGGCTGGTCGGCGGGCTCTGGCAGGCTCACCCCTGGGGTAGAGCAAAGAGAACAGACAGGGAGTTCTGAGAGGCACCGGAGCTGTCTAAACTCAGGGGGATGGAACCGAGTGAGCAGCAGCGGTAATTGAGTTTCAGTTACCTGCAGGGTGGCGAAATAAAGTGTTAACTTCATCTGCCTGACATGGGGGAAGTTTAGAGGTGTCCTTGGCATGCTCACAGTGAAATCCGTCACCCTTTCACTGTGTTGGGTGATGGCAATCGTATGGCGCTTCCTAGTGACAGCCTGCATGCATCCTGTTAGGCAGCACCAGCGCGCGGTGGCTAATGAAGCAGGTTCCCGCAGGCCTGTCTCCCAGGGCTCCCCGCATCCTCTGTCTGAAGGAATGGCACCATGGGAAAATTTAGCACAGCCAGCACCAGCCATCACCCAGACTCAAAAGAGTCTTTGAATGGCAGAGAGAGGCCCATTTTCCTCTCTGCCCAGCCCAGGGTTGGATCCGTCCTCGGGTCACTTTTTGTGGGTCTGTACAAACGTGCCGACGGGCAGCGAGCCGTTCTTCACCTGCTCCCGGATTTCAGCTCGGTGCTTTAATGTGAAGACCAGAGCTCTCACCGTCCGCCGGTATGGCCCGTTAATGAGGCGGGAGCAGAGATGAAACGTTTCCCGCTCAATATTTTCAACCAGTAGGTGATCCATCTAAAAAACAGCAAAATTATCAAATTAGAGCCTTGCATTGCATAAGGATTAAAAGTAAGAGAGGCTGCAGCACTCTGCTCGAGGCCTCCATTAATCAACTGAAATTCAAGGACATCTACTTCCTGTCACAAGAGAAACAGGAAGAGCAAATTAATTCCACCCTGGCAATTAAGGAACAAGGCCATGTGCTTTGTGACAGGGACCTCATTCACAACCCCTGCCGGGTGGTAATATTTGCCATTATAACAGGAAACTGGCTTGAACTAAGCAACGGGTACTGGGCCCTGTACTTCACCAACCAGGAAACGAAGTCCAAGGATAATAAATCAGTGGAGCAGTTCATGCTTCTTTTTGTTTTTAAAGGGCCTTTTAACCCCTTACAGCATTTTAGAAACACTGGGTCTGGATCCTAAACTGTGCATGAGGCAGTTTATAAATCACTTTTCCCATCTAATGCTCATAACTCTTATTATCACATTCTATAGATAAGGAAACAGGTTCAAAGGTAAAAGATCAAGACTGTACAGCTACTGAGAGACAGAGCTGGAACTCTGCCCTAGACCTTGACTGCAAAGTTCACGGTCCTCCCCTTTTGGCAACCAGTGGCCCCTTCAACGTTCTGAGACCCATGCAGATTCAATTAAGCAGAACAGGCCTAGGCGATGGGACCTGGAGCAATTCTGGGGTGGTCTGGCTCATACTCAGGCCACCCTGAGGTCACAGACCTAATCAAAGCAGACCGGGTCTGGAATTATGTCCACATGGTCTAGATCCAGGCCAGGTGAGGCTGCTGGTCAGAGACCCCCAGCCCATCTCCCTCCCCATCGTCCCCGGCCTAAGCGCTCTAGCTGTTTTCATGCTCCTCTACGCCACGGCACCAGTGCACGTTCCCTTAGAAGACACACCTTTCCTCAGGAAACACTCGTGTTTTTACGTCAAAGCTTAGGCAAACATACACCCATGGAGAAACCAACAAAAACCCTAGCACAAAGGACTGAAAGTTCTTCAGGCTACCACTATGTCCTGAGCTTCCCTTGGTCATTATCATAATGTTATAATAATCTATGTTTTGAGTTTGTCTCCCCTGGTAGTAAGTTCTTTGAAAAGAGGAACAAATTTTTCTTACTCCCTCTTTCCCCTTTATTCCTTCCCTTCCTGCTAGGCATTTATTTGAATATTTATTCAGCATCTATGACGTGCCAGGCTCTTGCTTGGGTTGAGGAACAGCAGTGACTAGGGTAGGCACAGCTTTTATGGCCATGAGGAGAAAAGGCAATAAGAGAAACAGGTGGTGAACGGGGATCATTAGGGTACTGAGTGCTAGGAAAGGCAGTGGGAATGAATGCCGAGGAGCACAACCACAGAGAAGTCACCTCACTCAGAAGGGTAGCACCTGGCTTCAGGAGGAAATGATGTTTTTCCTAAACTGAAGGATTCTAGGATCTGGCCAGGTGAAGTGGGTGTTTGCTTTGTGATCAGTTCAGTGAGCCGACACACACTGTTCTGTATATCCTATACTTCTATGTAAAAAGGATAAAAAGGAAAAAGCCCTGATGTGGTGGTACACACCTGTAATCCCAGCTACTTAGGAGGCTCAGGCAGGAGGATTGCAAGCTTAAGGACATCCTGGACAAATTAGTGCGACCCTATCTCAAAATCAAATAAAAAGGGCTGAGGGGCTGGGGTTGTGGCTTAGTGGTAGAGCACTCGCCTAGCACGTGAGAGGCCTGGGTTCAATCCTCAGCACCACCTAAAAATAAATAAATAAAAGTATTGTGTCCAACTACAACTAAAATAATTTTTAAAAAAAGGGGTGCAGCGGTTGTGGCTCAGTGGCAGAGCACTTGCCTGGCATGTATGAGGCACTGAGGTTGATCCTCAGCACTACATAAAAATAAATAAAC